TCACAGCCCCTCGTTTGTTGTCCTCTTCTCCCTCTCTGCCTACGGTTTACCGGGCAGTTCTATTTGACGATATATATATATATATATATCGTCACAAATAGAATGTATATATATATATATGACGATATATATATATATGTGATGATCAACGTGGCGAGCCTTGCACGTGAGAGGCACAGTGGAGGTGGAGTTCAAAGAAGAATGAGAAATTTAATGGTTTCAATCTGCCCTTGTTTTTTCTTTTTGTTTTTCTTTTTATTTTTATTTTTGCATGTTATCACTGTGCCCGTTTTTTGCTTTTATTCTTTGTTTCGCAAAGTGCGCTCTTTTAGTTTGTAGTGATGTGACAATATATATATATATATATATATCTGTGTGTGTGTGTGTGTGTGTGTGTGTGTGTGTGTGTGTGTGTGTGTGTGTGTTGTGTGTGCGTGACTGCGTGTGTGCATATGTGTGTGTTGTGTGTGTGTGACTGCGTGTGTGCATGTGTGTGTGTTTGTGGCTGCGTGCATTGGTGTGCGTGACTGCATGCGTGCATGCATGTGTTGTCATGTTCGCTATACACAACTCCACAAAACAAAGCATGACTGTGCCAGACTGTTTCGTTGGGGACTTTCACTGACGTATGATGAGGTTGAAACCCGACAGTCTGCCGAGGGGCAAGGTCCCACTTGCACAAATTATGGGATACTGACTGTCGATAGATCAACGCCCAAAATTTCTTAATCTGTGCAAGTGGGACCTTGCCACAGGAGGGATCTGACTGATGGATAAGGACTTATCACACCGCCCAGAGTTAGTGATACCCCTGCAAAAAGTGGTCGACTGTGTGCGTGCATCCGTAGATGTGAGTGAGTGAGTGTGCACCGGTGCGGGCTTTAGCAAGAGCATTAGCAACTCTGGCAGCGAGGTTGAGAGCGTTCGTGTTGAGTTGTCGTCATGTGTTGATGAGAAGCTACTGTGGCGACCTTGAGGGACCACCGTCGAACTGAACGGCCCAGAAGCAGTTCACGGGAGCCGTGCCCCACTTGGGCAAGTTTACTTCTGGTTTCCATTATTTTTCAACATGGTCACACCGTGGCGGTGAGATTTTCATGTTGGATGACAGGGACCCCAGTAGACTCGAACCCAGACAAAACCTCCCCAACTGGGGCTAGGCCCCGGATGTCCCATTTTGACTCCCGCCCCATCACTCACCGAATGTGTAAAATCACTAAACTCAGAATGAATCTTCCATTAGAACATGGAAAAATACACCACCATAATTTTTGCCTTTTCTGCATGTAGTGAGTGGTGGAGAGAGGCCCTTACTCACACAGCCGTGCTTTTTTTTTTTTCCCTTAACACAGCTGTCTTCTCCTCATATATGGCGGACAAGCTGCATTTTCCCTACCCTATTATCTTCTCTCAATCTTGTGTCCACCTCACTCTAACTACCTACCTAATGGTTCACACCTATTCCTGAGGAAACACCTTACCCACAAGGCCTACCCAGCTGACAACGGATTAGAGAGACACCCCTACCTATGGAAGTAGAAGCTTAAATTCACTAGCTAGAGCTAAGCTATCCTAAAGGTTATGAAACTACGCCTACCTATCTCTGCTCTGTGCAGGGGACCGTTGCATTTTTTAGCATCTCAAGACTCTCAAGAGTCTCAACTAAAGATCGCCACAATTTTTTTACTGCGTGCAGTAGGGCAAATTTTCCTGTCAGTGGCCCGTCAGCCATGATGTCAGACCCTAGCGTCATCATATACGGGTCTGACGGACCTTCCATCAAGGTTTTCGTTCTGCAGCCAATGGGCCTCACTCCAGCACTTAACAAATGAGGCAAAAATATGGCGGGTTTATCTTTCCATGTTCTACTGGGAGATTCGGTTCTCATTCCGTGAGTGATGGAGCAAAGTCCGCCAGCCTTTTTTGCAAGCAACCGACGTAGCTCACTTGCTACAGCCATGAACTGTTGAAGTACAGACCCCACTTCCCAAGTTCGATTCTGACATGGGAAAACAAAAACAACAGAAATGAAAACCCAGCGAAGACCACTCCTGTGCCGCTTTCCGCACGGTGTGTCACCTGACACACCCGCCCTGTTTTCCGTGTGGCGGAGGGACAAAACGGGCCAGCCCACTGCTGCCTCGATAAAGAACCAACGCGGAAAACAGCCCCAACTGACACAATTTATGACAACATTTCCTGTAGCGCAAGGCAAACCGTTCGATAGCCAAACTCTACCTCGGACATCCAGATCGCCCGCAAAGAAAGGAGAAGAAAAAACTACTACATGGCGCATACACGAGCGCCGACAGTTTGTTAGAAAAGGAGCTTTGGGGCAGTTCTGGCCAGCCCAGATGTGATCCAAAGGCCAACAAACCGAGATGGGTGCGCAGCGTAGCCCTCGGCCCACTTACCTATAGAGTATTGTTTTGATTAAGAGAACAGACGAAATATACAAATGAACATCTCCCCCTTTACTCTGCCTCCTTTCATAGCATGCAAATCAGCCATTATGACACACGGGGATGAGGGAAGCTTGCACTCAACCACAGTGAACGTACCAACCCTTGTATATTATAGGCACAGTAAAAGGTGAGCAGCAAGAACAAATTAAAGGGGTACCCAGGTACCCCAAAGCAAGCTAATGTTGGATTTGTTCATCTTTAGCGTGCTTGATTGTCTGCTATACGAGTACAACTACTTCGTCAGATGTACTCATCTGGGTGGACAAAGGGCTGTTGTGGTGACAATTTACAACACAGGCACACAGGCACACAGGCACACAGGCACACACGCACAAACATAGCAAGATGAGGGTGCTTTTCCAACTCAGTGTGTCATCTTCCACTCTGAAGGGTGTTGTCGTTTTATAGATAGTAAAACTCGTCCAATACCATCCATAGCTTCAAATAGTTCCCAGGCTTGCTCTGCAATGACTAAGGGGCAAACAGGATCTGTGTCTTCAGACTCTTCAGAGTAATACTTCCAGTCATTTGAAATCCTCTGAAGACTGAATCCATGATTCTAATGGGGAAAAAAGAAAAAAAAGGATTCTAATGCATCAGTAGAATGTGTATCTGCTGGACTTCAGTACCAATCCTCACCTTGCACATCTTCTGCAGACCATCTATCGTTTTCATGGGATTCTTCCTTCTTTTTGCTCTTTTTCTCCTTGCCGTCTGCTCTTAGCTGTTTTTTTCCCACATTAATTGCATTATTTGCACCTTTGCCTTCGTCTTCAACAATCAGCAAGTTCTTATCGCTTGCCTGAAGGTCACGTTTCTCCTCGGACGAGAAGACGAGCCGTACTTCACCTGCTGCTCTGCTACTGTTAGCCATCTGGATGGCCCATAAAAGTACACCTGGCAGTTCTGCTTCGTGCTTGTCAGACTTCTCACGTGCATATGCTCCTTCATGGGACAACGATCTTTGATCAAAACTTGAATCTGAAGAGAAGCCAAATGGTTGATGAAGCCCCACCAACACATAGATAACAGTTCGACAGAAAACCAGCTATTTCAGCCTTGAACAAAGGTGGAACAGCAATAGCTGCAGCCGCAGCAGCACGAAAGGGTGGCCAAAGTGGGAAATTGAAGTCCCAATTGAATGTAGGAGCATTACCTAAAATCGACAATGTAAGAGGCATGCTCAACAAAAATCAGTCTCAGCATAGGCTATCCATCTGCTTTCCCAGCTGATTGCAGCAACAGATCATCAACATTGGAGAACTTCAGGAGGATGGATCTCCCTGAGATCAACAGAGCCAGCAGATTCAAGAATAAAAGGGCATCGCTTTCAATGCACGGTTTCATCAGGCAGCCTGCCGTGAAGCCTGAGAGGGACAGATTTGCTGTTGTTTGCAGATGGCTTTTTTTGGGGGGGGTAGCTAAGCTTGGGTGCGACCTTGTGTGGGCGTGCTCATCTGGCAGTCAACATTCCCTCACAGCGAGCAATCAACATACTGCCAGACGGCTCCTCTGCACGTAACGAAAAGGGGGAGCTTAGGAGGGGTGTATTTGTAATTTTGTATCATGACTTGCTAGTGGAAACGGAAAAGGAACCGGACATCTGCCCCCCAGATTAGGATGGAGCTGCAGGACCTAAAGGGGGTATATTTGTATCCATGATGACTTCCCAGTGGAAACGGGAAAGAAACCGGACTGCTGCCCCCCCCAGATTAGGGTGGAGCTGCAGGACCCTGAAGCACCTGTGCGTGGCCCCAGCCAAGTTGAGAATCCGATTGAGCCTCTCCTAAAGTTTCGGAGGCTCGCAAGGCGTTCATAAAATACATCGACAGCAGGCGGCCCCCAAAAGGGGCTCATGGCCAATGTATGGCATGTGCTGGTGGTTTAAGGCCCCGTTTTCTCAGGAAGAAAAGAGGAAAAAAAGTGTCACCGGCCACACAGTGAGCATAGCGAACTCGCCATACTTTGAGGTACATCACACACCCTCAGCCTCCACGAGTTGTAGTCAAATCTCCTCCCAGAGACATCACAAAACCCTGCCAGAGCCAATCTTTCTTGAAAACCACGGGGGAAATCCTCAAACGTCAACTTGTGAGCTTCCCACATCCTTGACGTCTCAAAGCACCGCTCAAAAGACCAACTGTTCCAGTGGACTGGACCAGCCAGTCTTTTCCTTTTTTTTTTAAAAGAAAAGGGAAATGCAAGGAATTTGAGTGAGAGCAATAGACAGAAAACCAAGTTGCAAAATCACGAAGTAGTCCAGATAGTCATGTAGCAAGCAGAGAGCACAATGCACCAAGATACCATCCAAATAAGAGCAATACAATGAACTCGAGTGTCAATGCCGACGCTCTCTGGTCACTCCAACACTGTATCCAATGTCGCTCCTACTGTCTGGCACCCAGCGCCCAGCCTACACTATTCAGCCTATCTTTCCTGTCTACGTTCATGCGACTGGATCATATCGAAGTCGAAGACCAATGTACGTGACGTCAACACCAATGCCGACCACCAGCATACACCAGGTATGTCCGCTCCCCTCCCCTCATCACCCCTTGGTTCCCCTCTTCATGCGCCTCCTACCCGAAGACCACCATCGCCATCACCTGCCTGCACCCCTGCAGCCCGGCTATGGCTGCTGTGTGCCCGCTGCCTCAGCAGCGCCCCTCACCTCTGCGCCCGTGCACGCGTCCGACCAGCAGCGCCCACGCAGACACTAGCGCAGCAACGCAGCAGTGTGTCCGCATTGCCTGCCAAGGCCCGAATGCCTGAGCCTGGGCAGGGCACTTTCCTTTATGGAAAGTGCGGCCTGTGTCTGCCTGCGTGGGCCTGGCTGGAGAAGTTTCCAGTAGCTTCCATTTGGACCCCAGTGTCTGCGCCCAGGCCCACCTCTGCTGTTACGGGCCTGGACCCCTTACAGTTGGGCACGTCCAGGCAGCCGTCCAGGCTCCAAGTGTTTGCCGCATACTCATTGGCTCGTGGAGGTTGTGTGATGACAATGCTGCTTTCTCATTCATCCGCGGCCACTGCGTGATGTGTTGGCCTCACACTGCGTGTGCCCAGGGTGCAACCACACAAGGCCCTGGGCTCAACTGTGCATCGCAGCTGTTGCTTCAGGATAGAGCCAGGAAAGGCTCACGTTGCTTTGTAACGAACTGACGTGCTGCAACTGTCTGATACCCCACATACGGAAAACAATTGTCGAACAGAAGCCTCATGTGGATATTCAGGCCTGCCTTCATTTAGGACGGGCACAAGGCTTGCTGGGGGCCACAGCCCAGCACACTTGCATGTCTGATAAGGGCTCCGCGAGCGCTCATTCCTCGCATACCATCCCCCTTAGCTTCGAAAGTCCGCTGAGATGCTTCTACGGAGGTGCCTTCCCCTTCAACCTTCGTTCATACTCTGCCACGATCTGAGGTACTGTTTTCATGAGCTCCTCTTTTGTGAACCAACGATCTTCCTTTGGATTCGTATGATGCCTGAATCTGACCCGGTACTCCCTCATAGGTTTGGGCAGTCTTCCCCTACCCACAGCCTTGGGAACCGGCAAGTCACTATGTTCCAGAATGTCGTTGACGTCCACATGGCCATCCACGGTTGGGGGCAGCATTGATCTCCTTGATGGAAACTGCTCAGTCTCAGCGAAAGGTGCCAACCTTGAAGCGTGAAATACAGGGTAAGTGCGCAGATGACCAGGGATTCTGATGACGTACGAGGGACCATCTAAATTACTACCCACAATGTCTAGGACTTCCGAGGGACCAAAGTACTGCGGAATCAGTTTGCGAGAGATTCCAAATTCCTGTCCTAATTCACTAGCCTTTACCCAGACACGTTCCCCTACCTGAAATGTGGACTGTCGTCTGTGTTTGTTCTCGGAGGCAATCATTGCCTCCTGAGATTTCCTGATGTGTTTGACAGCCTGCTGCAACAGCTTCTCATACTGGACACCAAATTCTATGGTTCCGGGCATTGCAATTGGTCGGTTTTCAGGAAGGAGGAAGTCTAGTGCAGATCTAGGTTTCCACCCCAAATGCAGCTGATTGGGACTGACGCCGGTGGTGCTATGTGCAGCGTTATTGTACAGGCTGACGATGAGAGGAAGTTTCTAATCCCAGTCATCCTGGTTGGGCTTGATGTAATGCCTCAGCAGATGCTGCACCACGCGGTTCATCTGTTCCGCTTGGCCGTCGGCGTCGGAATGATTCCCTGAAGTCATTTGGAGTTGGCTACCCATTTGTTCAGCGGCCTTCTTCCACATTTCCCTTGTGAACCGGACATCTATGTCACTGACAATGGTCTCCCGACCGTGAACTCAAGCTCCACTTGGGTTTCTCAAGCCCTTGCCCATTCCTTCGGGTCCGGGACAGAGTGTCTCCATGGACTTCATGGATACTCTTGTGACCAGCAAAAGTGGTAAGCGGCACATCTTCGTTATAGTAGACAGACTCACTAAGTACGCTAGACTAATTGCCATGCCAGAAACCGCAAGGATTGAACACGTCATCAAGTTGTTCATGGATAACTGGGTGCGTGATTTTGGATAACTCGACAAGTCTGAACGTACTTCTTTGCATCGTCAAGCATACTAGGCCACCAGAAACGTTGCACTAGATTAGCACTAGTCTTCTTGTAGCCGAAGTGACCAGTTGCATCATGGCATTCACCTAAAACTAAACTACGCAAAATCTCACTCGACGGAACACAACCTTTTGAACCCTGCCTTTTCAAGGAAGAGTAATTCACCCACCATCACAAACTCCTTAGATGTAGCTTTGTCCTTAGCATCCAGTTTGCGAATGATGTCCACCATGAGTGGATCTTCCTTGTAGGCATCAACCCATGATTGAGTCACTTTGTCAGATCGGCCAAACTCAGTAATTAGCGCACCTAGGTAGTCTGCCCTACGCGACAGTGCATCAGCAACCTTGTTGTACTCTCCCTTCATGTAGTCTAGTTTGAGGTCATACTGATATACGACTTTAATCCAGCGTTTAAGTCCATCAGAGAGGACAAGCTGCGTCTTGATCCACTTGAGGGTCTGATGGTCGGTTCTCAAGTGAAAGAACCTTCCCAAAAGATAATGTCTCCAACGGGCAAGAGCCTTGTAAAGGGCATAGAGTTCCCTTTCGTGCGTGGACGTCACCAATTTCTTTGATGGCATCTTCTTGCTCATGTACACGATCGGCCTCACCTTCCCTTCCTCTTGTGCCAACATTGCGCCTATGCCATATTGGCTTGCGTCAGTGGTCAAGACGAATGGACCATGACAATCTCATGATGCATGAGGGCGTACTTCAGTCTTTTGAAAGCAGCCTTGCATGCGTCTATGGTGTGTCAAGGAGTGTAAAACCAGTCAAAGGGGCGCCCACCGTACTATAGTTCTTCACAAAGTTACGGTAGCAGTCAGTCATCCCTAAGAAATATCCGACCTCGGTCACAGCAGAGGTCGTTGCCAGCCACGAATGCTAGCCACCTTTGCATCTTCGGGCCTTATCCCTTCCGCGGATATCTCATGACCCAAATACAAGGGTTTAGTGCGACCAAACTCGCATTTCTCGAAATTGATCTCATCCTTGTATTGTCGTGTTTCTCTAAATTCCTTGTATGGGACTGATGTTTGGCTCATATGGTGGGATGGGATGTTTTTTTCCCTTCCTCCTCCCTCTCTTTCCTCTTCTCTTCCTTCTCCTTGTCCCTCTTCAGCTTCTCGAGGGTCTCCTCCTCATCCTTGACCAACCATTCCTCCCTCGTGAAGGTCGTTGTGTTGAAGGCAATTCTGTCGACTTCACCCTTGCGGCCCAATAACGGGTAGGGAATCTCGTTGATCAGCTCCCATGATTTTCGTGTCAATCCCTCCCTCAGTTGGGCCTGCTGGTCATATAGGACCAGGACTGGTCTCAGGTCTCTGTAGCACCTTTCTCCGTTCTTCATCCCAGTACACGTCTAGGTTGTCGTTCTGTCCTATCACTTTCATG